TGTGATTCGCGAATCCCGAATCACGAAACGCGAATCCCGAATCACGTTTTCCGGAGGCTTCTCCGGATCACCACTGGGGATGGCAATCCGAGTCAAGACTATTGACTCCGTTGCTGACTGGAAACCAGAAGTTGTGATGAGGTGAAGGTCCTGAATTTCAGACAAGGAGCTTGACACAAAAAGTAATTTGAGCGAACTGGGCCAAGACCAACGTTCCAAACAGACTCCGTACGGTGGAAGCTACCAGTACGGTGTGAAGCTTTGGGTTTTGGAGGCGACCCAGACACGGAGGCTTTGCAAGCGCATCGAGGCAGATCGAGGCGTCCCTTTGCCAAGACCGAGGTACAACAAGGTGTGACAAGTTACAGGATGCGAGCGCACAGCTGCGGCGTGTCCCTTGTCCCAACCGAAATCTCTCGTAAGCTACGGCAGTGAGCTACAGTTACACAAAGAGCTCGTGCGGCTGGGCCCAGCGGTGAGCTAAGGGAAACTTGAACATTCTCATACTTGTAATCTGCAAGCATGTCTTTGTCAACTGGAAGAAGTTATCATATTTGGGTGCCACACTGGTTCCCACCAAACCCCCCAATGTCATAGCTTGCCACTGGGTTGGCAGCACTGGGCGGGAGGCCTTACTTCCTTTTGTGAAAAGACTGTCTTCCCTCGCTTCTTGAGAGAATGCCCTACAAAAAGCTCTTACACAAACATCAAATGATCAATCTCCAAAAAAACGATCACAGCTCACAGCTTGCGGGCACGTTTGCTTCCAAAAACCCATGAGTTGAAATCCCGGTCGCTCGAAAGAGCTCGAGGCAGAGACACCTCATTGAGATGATCTACGAAGTGGGCAAAGGTCTGCCAACAGCTGGCCTTCTCGCAGGCTGCAAGAACTGTGGAGCATGTTGCCGTATCTGGCAACATCTTCGCTTCCTCAAGCCTATCCAAAAGGAGGAGCGAGAGCTGCCACTGGCAGCTCCTCTCACATGATCTCATGGCCGCATTGCAGGTGATGACTGAGGGCTGGAGCCTTGAACTCTGCAAAGCATCAAGTAAAACACATGCTTGTTGCCAAGCACTGGCTTTTTCGCAGGTGCTCAGAACAGCATTGCAAGAAATGATATTGCACTCCAACTGCGTTGCTGCAAATGAATCCAGCAGAAGCAAAGACTCTTGCCACTTGGCTGCATTCTCACAAGCACTCAAGGCTGAATTGTAGGAAATCACATCAGCTTCAAGACGGATCTCAGTGATCATGCGCAAAAAAGATATAGCCTGTTGCCAAGAATTGGCATTCTCACAAGCACTGATGAAAGCATTGCACGTCACCACGTCCGGCCTCAGGTGTTCCTCCAGCGCCCCAAGCACCAGGCCGGCTCTCCACTGGGACGCATTCCCACAAGCTGAAACGGCAGAGTTGTAGCTGATGGTCTGCGGCTTTGCCTCAAGTTCCAGCTGGCGCAGGAGCAGAATTGCAAGCTGCCAGACGCAAGCCTTCTCACAAGCACTGATTGCTGCATTGTATGTGATTGTGCTGGCATTGAAAAAGATGTCACAAAGTCCAAGAAGACCAAGCGCCTCTTGCCACTTCCCGGCCTTTTCACACGTACTAATTGCAGCATTGTAGATCACTGCATTGCTTTGGAGCTCCACCCGACGGACGCAGCGTAGGACATCGGCTGCGCATGGCCATGTTCTTCCCGCGAGGCCAGACAGGACGGCACCGTAGCTGATGAGGGACGGCTTCAGGTGCCACGACAACTCTGAAAGTTTATGAATGCTTTGGCTCCAGTGAGTCAAGGCAGTCATTACTGCATTGTAGGTGATGACCTAGAAAGAAACAAACGGAGGCTTCGGCAAGCAATTCTGAACATGTGCAACAAACCATGTTTCATGTCTGATAGCTTGACACAAACAAACCAAACTGCCAAAATCGCCTACCTTTGCGGCCCAAAAAGAAGTATCTCAGTATCTCCGAGAAGTTTTGGCTTAAACTTAAACAGCTCCGCTGAAGCACCGCTTTAACTTCCCGCCTGAGCTTGGAACCCAGCCTCAATGACCTCTTGAAGGAAAAGTGCTGTCTGCCATTCGGACTGAGGTGGCAGGCAGCTCAAGACTGAGTTGTGGCTGATGACATCCGGCCGCATTGAGTTGTGTGAGTCGTGGGTCGCACATCTGCACAAAAGAGCTGTGGCCATCTGCCAGGCAAACGACCCGGAGGTCGCAGTGGTTGCAAGATTGAAGCCTGTGATGTCGGGTCCATGCGTTTCACGTGTCTCATGGTACAGCTCGAGGGTCTGTTGCCATTCCGCAGCTACCATAGCTGTGATAGCCGCATTAAAGGCTCTCGTAGATGTGCTACCCTCTCTGCCCATCAGCCGAAGAATGTACAGAGCTGCTTGCCACTTGGCACAAGCGGTGATGGTGCAGGAGTACAGGACAGCATCTGTGGAGCGCATTGACCGTGCTGTCCTCATCAAAATCAAAGCTTGCTGCCATTGAGAAGCTTTCTCACAAGAGTTGATCGCTGCACTGAATGAGATGACATCAGCTTGGGCAGTCTTGCGCAGGACATGCAATACTGCCAGAGCCGCCTCCCATGCCGCAGCCTTCCCGCATGCGGAGATGGCTGCATTGTAAGTTGCCACATGGGTTTCAGATGCTTTCTGTGCTTTGCCTAGCACCTCAAGTGAATGCTGCCATTGGTGAGCTGCTCCACATGCACCAACAACAGCACGAAATACTACTGAATTTGCCTGCAAGCCCGTCTCCTCTAGTCTTTCCAGCAAAAGCACTGCCTGCTCCCACCTGGACGTGCTCTCACAAACTCCAATAGCACTTCCGCAAAGAATCTCATTTGGCTCCACCGACTGTTCTTCAATGGCACCAAAAAGCTGAATTGCCTGGAGCCAAGTTGCCAAGGTGTTCATCACAGCACTGTAGGTGACCACGTTCGCCTTCAATTGGCTCTGCTCCATCCTTTCTAGCATGGACACCGCAAGGCGCCATTCAGCACTTGAAAATCCACTGGCGGTTGTGCTGACCGTGATCACGTCACTTTCCAAAGATGTCTCTTCAAGCGCAGCAAGCAAACCTAGTGCTTGCAGCCATTGGAGAGCTCTTTGGCAAACACTGACAGTTGAGTTGTAAGTGATAACATTGGGCTCCAAGCGATCTTGAACTACGTGCTGACACAGCATCATAGCCAACTCCCACTGCGGATCATTACCATTCTTGCACCTGGAGATGCTCTTGTTGTAGTCGATCACAGTGGTAGGGCGGCTCGGTTTCTCAGCCGACCGGGCATGCCTGGCCCATCGACCAGGCCCATTGACCTGCATGCTTCAATTCTTGAGACCTACGTACTGCAGGAGCAAAAGCAAATTCAGCTACTGGGAACCAGGTCGTGAGGCTGAGCTCAAGAGATAAAGCATAGCTTAGCTTCCCCATGCGACCTTTTTCCATTTTGACTTCTTTGGCAAGTGTGACCTTCAAAAGGCATTTGCCCTGATCAAACAACAGCTCTTCCGGTGACAAGGTGCTTGCTATGTACAGCGTGAGCAGGGTTACAAATCCTCGGCCACATGTTTCATGAATTCTCCCACTCCTGACAAGCAGCCGATATGGACGGCCCATGTCTGGCTGCAAAACAAGTCAATCTCAAGCCAGTGTTCAATTCCCGCCAATCACGATCATCGGAAACAAGGCAGCTTGCAAAAGCCACATGTCGGGCGCCTTGTGCTTTGAATCTGCGTCTGCATCGCCATCTAAATTTGGCCAGCTGGTAGCATGGCTGTCATCGACCGTGTAGTTGTTGCTTGTATCTGCCTGAGTACCTTGGAACAAGCTCATGTCAATATCTATATAGACTAATTCCTGAGCTTCAGACTCTTCTTTGCAGTCAACGTGATCGCACAGTGCGCCTGGCGATTCAACTCATGAACCAATGAGCCATGCAACTTGGCTAAAGGCAAGCTGTGGGACCTAGGAGGAACACACACTGTATTGTCTGAAAAAACCAGTGGGTTGAATAACAATGGATCATTATCAACCCAACCTTGTTTTTTCTGTTCGCTTTAAAAAGCTTAGGTATACCGCTGGCCTTCGTTTGGATCAACATCCCCAACTTCTCAGTTGGATCCCACATGGGCATCTCAAACGAGGCTAGAGATACCAACCGGACCCTGCAGGTCGATGTCCCCCATGGGCCTTTGTGGCAAAGCCCCGAAGACGTGTGCCGAACCACCGGGGTTGACCTCCTCCTCGATCGTGTAGGAGTCTTCCTTGAGACGTCTCAGAGCACTCCCAACACACCACAAAATGGCCGCCACACTGGTGGTATAGGCTCACACAATAATCACACTTGTCACGACACAGCCACCCATTCCAGGCCCGTCAACCCTCTAAATAAGGTGCTGTAGATCATCCATTGAGCAAAAAATGTCAGAACTGACACTTTGTGGCGAAGCCTGTTCTTGCTGAATGTGAATTGGGTGGCTCAATGAAATCCAAACATCGCCAACACTTCTCCATTTCGACTTCCAAGGATTGGGCAAGTGATCAAAAAACAAAACGCATTTGCCCTGATCAGACAACAGGGAGCTCTTCCTGTCTTCGAAAGAAGTGTTGGCTGTGTCCAGCTTGAGCAGCTTTGCAAGTCCTCAAGATTTCTCCTGACGGACCCCAAAATTGGACACAGCGTGGGTCTGCCCAAATTATGAGGATCAATGTCCTCATCTTTGCTGCCTGCACTTTGGCTGTCCGACCTTGGGACTACTACAAGCCAGTGTTCAATTCCCACATTCCAGGTCATGATTAAACAACAAAAGCAGCTGGCAAAGTCAACATCACCTGTGCTCTGTGCTTCGATTCTGCATCTACATCATCAGCATCTGAACCTAGTCAGTTCGTGGCATGCATGTCGCAGACAAGGTGTTTCCAAACCATTGTCAATTCTAGCTTCCTTCTGCTTACTATCGCAACATGCACAACAATAGCTTGCAAGTACTTATCTGCAAAGTGCCTTCGGTGTCACTCTGATCATTCTCAGAGTCAGATTTCTCGTCTTCATCAGCCGTAAACTTTACAGCCTGCAGTGAAAGTGGCAGAGGAACAAAGACTGACGAACAGAGTAGTCTATGACCACTTCCAAAAGTTGTATGTTTTCCACCGCTTTCCACCAAAATAGGACCTACCCGGTATCTCAGGTATCTCACACTTCGAGCATAACTGCCATCCTCTAGATATCCCTACATTCTGCACTTGGCAGCAAGCCTTTGGGGACATCGGCTCCTCAAAGCAATCAAGGTTCGAAGTTCCTTGTTCCTTCCAACATCCAAGCTACTAGTAACAAGACACCTTACTACTAGTAACAAGAAGCTACTAGTAGCTCCTGGCATTACTACTAGTAGCTAGATAGAAGCTACTAGTAACAAGGGCATCGCTACTAGTAACGTGTGCATCGCTACAATTCATCTTCAAAATCATCCGACGTCCTCGCCCTGTGGGAAGCTTCCAATACTGCCGTCCTACGGCGCGCAGCAAGTCGGCTTGGACTGTGCCCATCACGGGCTTCACGCTGTGCGTTGCGGAATCGGTCCTCTTCTTCAGGTCGGTTCACCTGGAGCTTTTTTGCCACTCTTACAGAAAGGGAGTACAATTATGTTGAGGTACGTATATTATTGAATGAAAATGTCTATGTCCTGTAGATATACATACAGCTTGTATAACGTAGCAAACTGCCTGCGTCCACTTTGGTGGGTTTACCGTTTGTGTGACCCGCATTTCCCACAGCGCACAGTCTCTGCAGTTCACCCGCTAGACAAAAGCTCTGATGGAAAGGAAGCCCTCACACAGCTCTGCCTTGAATGCTACGACCTCCTTGCTTTCAGCCTTCAGCATGGCATAAAACCTTAGGATTTTGCGCCACAGGAACTTCGCCCCACAGCAACTCGGAGTCCTTCTTTTGCGCCAAGGCCAGCACTCTGCGTAGTCCATCACACCTCATAGTCCACACCATGCTGGAAAGTCATGAAAGTTATGAACGTCATACAAAAGTCACACGATGCTTCTAAGTCTTAGGTGGAGACCGTCGCGGTTTGTGTCAACCTCTCCATCAAAAATACCGCGAAAGTGCGCACCGCAAATGGGTGCCAAAACGACCGTTTTGCCCAGTTCAACTTATGAGAAGCAGAGGTGCAGAAAAAAAAACACTGATTCCAAGCTGATAGGCAGCTTGGTTGGTCCTGGCCTCTTCAAAAATGCGCTGCATCTCCATGAACTGCTGAGGTCCTTCCATGTCGATGGTCTCGGCCACCTGACACACCGACAGCGAAGAAGACGGCCGTGCTGTCCTGTCTCCCACGTGATCAATCCCCCATCTCCGACTGTCCTGTTTGGCTGTTAAACAAATACATCTCCACCACACTCTTATATGCGGTCTGAAGTTATGTCGCCTGGATTTGGTATGGTTTCACAAGTTGGAAGAAAGGGCGAGGAGAAATGCTCGTCTCACCTCCTCAGCGGTGAGACCACCACTGTCATCTTGGTCGAAGCTTCCTCAGGCATCGAAGGAGTAACAAGAAGCTACTAGTAGCTAGAAGCTACTAGGTGGAGGCCATTGCCATTAGGTTGGAGGCCATCGCTACTAGGAACAAGAAGCTACGAACTAGTAACTGTGGGGATAAGGTTCCTATATAATACACATTACCCAAGTGAGTGTCCCTTGTAAGAAATGTATGCGACGCTATCACTCTTCCGAAGCTTCCTGTTGTGATGAAACTCACATCTCACCCCAAGGTCCAGCTCACTTGCTGGTCTGAATGTCTCCACTCACCAAATTCATGTCACACCAGCAACAGCTAACCTGATGGAAGTGGAAACTGATAAATCCATTGTCCCTTCAATTGTGCTCTTGCGCACCGAATGCCCCCAAACTCCATCATTCTTCAGCCTCTCTTCAATGAAAAACCAATCCACTGACCAATGTCACCTCAACTCTAGGTTGGCAATGTGTGGGATCCCAATGTCTTCCAGCAAACATTGTTACTACATGTTACTACTAGTAACAAGTGCCACGCTAGTAGTAACAGGTGCCTTACTAGTAGTAACAATGTTTGCTATTAGAAATAAAATTAATTCTAGTAGCTTCTTGTTACTACTAGTAAGGCACCACCTGTTACTACTAGCGTGGCACTTGTTTCTACTTGCTTCTTGTTACTACTAGCGATGGGACAAATATTTTTCTTTTTTCGCCCGGGAACGGAAGGCTCGAAGCATCACCGCATGGTTTTCGATGAACATGGGCGCCTCCAAGGTCGCGGCCTCGGGCGTCGTCGCGGCCGTCCAGGTCTTTTAGGAGCCAAAAAGGATGTGAGAAGGAATCATGGTATCATAGATGTGGCCAAGATTGAACAGAAAACAAAGAGACACCAGCTTTCAATACCACACCTATGCTGATCCCTTGAAGAACCGGAAGAAAAAAGGAACGTCTTCAGTCTCACCCGCCCAACTGTTCGGTCCCGGGTCGACCGCGCCAGAAACTCGGTGTAGTCGATCACACCCGAATGATCAGCATCCAACTGGCCGAGGAAGACGAATGGAGAGACGAGAAGCACCGAGATTGGAGTCACCGGTGATTGGAAGAAGGAAGCGGTGGCCGTGACGAAGAAGCTGTCACTTTCTTTAGACTCACTCAGATTTTCCATGAGCTTCCCCATTTCTTCTCTGGCATCTTCGTCTTCGGCATCTCCGTGCCGGGTTCGTCTCCGTCCGTTTTCCCCCACGCAGCGCATCATCTGCTGCAGCAGCTCGGAGTCCACGCCCAAGGACCTCACCTCGATGGCCGCGGCTGCGGCCCAGAGCCGGCAGGACGAAGCACCGCGCGGGCGGTCGTTTTGTTCCACGCCGAGAGGCGCCCGAGGTGAACTCGTCGGTGGTGAGGAGCCCATCTCCATTGAGGTCAAGCCTGGGAGAATTGAGTTCTGGAGCGAAAAGCCAGGTCAAAAGCGGGCAGGTCACAGGTCTGAGCAAAGGACCCTCGAAAAAGGTCCAAGAGCAATTTCACATCCTCTGCCTGGCACAAGCAATAATTCAACAAAACTCAAGGCTTTGGCTTTGCACACGATCCACATGGCACAGGGAGATCCTACAAGCACAACTGAGCCAGTAGTGCGTCCATGTGGAAGGCCACAGCCAGCATGGCAGCCCTGTCAGAGGCAACCACCACAGCAGCCTTAAAGTTTCCCCCAAAAAAATGAATCGCCTTCCGACACTTCACAAGGCAAGGTACCTCAACTACATGGGGCTTACATCCTCAACCAACCCCCTAGGGTCACGTGATGAACGCAGGTTTTGCTAAGAGGTACCTGCTCGCAACCCCCACAGAGAAAACGGTAGCAAAGAAGAACTTCGATCTCGACCGTTTTACCACGCCTTTCGGATAAATTCACAGCTGAAGGATCCGGGCAATGCGGTAAAAAGGACTTGCAATTTGTTCCGCGAATTGTGAACCCCTGCCACTGGCAACGCCATTTACAGTCCTTGGTGCTAGAACAGGGTCAATCAGTTCAGCACCCAAGAAAAGCAGATCTTGGAGTCGGTAACCCAAAGCGTCACCCAAACCGATCTGCTCGAACAGCGACTCACCTCATGATCTTCAGCGTATCCCATCCGCGGTCTTCCCATCCGTGATCTCGGGCCTCCGAAGATTGTGGTCTTGGGAGAAGTTCACCAAGCGTTCCACCGTCTCGTCACGGATATGCGCGACCTCGTCAACGGTCGTCGAAGAGGATCCGACGGAGGTCGCCCTTCGTGGTCGCCGGTGATCCGCCTGAGGAGCAAACGCGCTCGTGGAACTTGTTCTTCAGCCAAGGATGCTCCAATCCCTGATGCACAGTTTCAAGGTGTCACAGGTTGTTGGAAAGCGTCTTGTCAAGGCTGTTGAAGTGTTTCAAAGCATAGCTTCTGTGAAAGGCTGACCTATACTATACATAAATTGAACCTGAAAACCAAATAACATCCTCCCAGCAAGGACACCTTTTTTGACTCGTGCCCCAATGACCAAACGACCAGATTCATGCACACGGCACCACTACCACCTCGTACCACCTCGTCACATCTCCTCGGTCACCTCACCACCCAGCAATTCCCAGGCCTCGATCACCGTGAGGCGCTTCGCAAAGTCCACCTCACAGGCGCGCGATGAGAAACAAGGAGTGAACAAGCTGACGAGCCTGGGAGAGCTTCTAGTTACAAAGCCTTCTCGTTACTAGTAGCGATGGCCTTCACCTTGTAGCTTTAGATACTAGAAAGCTTTGTTACTAAGAAGCTTCAAATACATACAAGTACTAAAAAGCTTCTTGTTACAGATGAAACGATTCCCAGTGAAACGATTCCCGGTCGGAAGCTTCTGGGAGACTCAAAGATTCGTTTTGGAGCGAAAGGCAAAACCGACCGTCTCTGAAAGGACGAAAGCATGCCGAAGGAGGGCACACGAAGCAGTCAACCAGGCAGTCTCGTGAGGTTGTTCTGTGAAGCTTTCAGCAAGTGAAGGAACTTGGCCAGGGGCATCTAGACAGCGCTTGATGAAGTGCTTGCAGCCTGCTATGTCTCACCAAAATCTCCAGACTGTTCTCACTTGATAGACACCACACCATGCCTTTCGAGACACCACCCCACTGGCTGGCTTGGAAGACAAACCTGTGGAGATGCAAATACTGCAAGCTCAACTGAGCCAAGCAAGGACAGTCTTACCCGGCAACATTTCTATTGAAGGCTCAAAAGAAAGGGAGTCACTCATGTTACAGATACGATCATAGAATCATGCTGTAATTATTCAAATCACTGCATCACAAGCCCGGGCCTTCCTTCCTTCACCATTCGCAAGGTTTGAGCATCGGTTTCCCCAAACTCAGCCACTGCAACAACTTCAACGCTTTGATGGGACCCAACACTTCAACCGCCATCACGGAACGCCCATGAACATCCTGAACATCCACCAGTGAAAAGCGCACACTTGCTGGCTCCTTCCTTCCGAAAAAATAATACGCGCCGCGAAGGGCTTGGCGCTTCCGATCGCCCAAATTCCTTCCTTCTTTGGCTTCGGACGAAGGGTGGGATGCCCGCCACCAGCATGAAGCACACCGCGCCCAGGCTCCACACATCGCACCTCAGGCGGCTTTGCTCCGTGCGGCGGGCGAAGACGACGTCCGGCCGGCGGGGCCGTGGCTCCTTCCCGTAGCTTCCAGCCAGCACCTCCGGAGCCACCTGAGAGCTACGACGTTCCTTACTTTGTTTCCAAAACAACCTTAGTTCATGGTAATTCATGGTATGACTCTTACTAATGATACTATGACACTCTCTCGGAAAGTCTGCATGGGAGATGGAGTTCAGGCCATTTTCAAGTTCCTTGGTGAGTCTGTACGTGATAACAGGTCGGCACGACATAGTACGGACTTCCCACTTTGGTTCTCAGTGCTTTGCCCTCCTGAAGATGTCTGATTTGTGCAGAATCTGTGTCACGTTCTCCATGTAACTTGCTCAGAGCTAATACATTATCATCACCACCAAAAAGTGTCCTCTGGACTTCTGCAAGAGTAGCCAAAATCCACCAAGCGCAATTGCGAAACCATTTGATCGTCTTTCGACTCCTGCAGCAGTCTTGCAGACACTCACTCACTCACTCACTCACTCACTCTCTCACTCTCTCACACTCTCTCTCTCTCTCTCTCTATGGTCAGTGGCGGGCAAGGACAGGAAGCAAAAGGTGGCCTCTTGCATCTACCACATAAGTTGCCTTGTACATGATGTTCTCAGGCTTAATGTCACGGTGTACATAGCCGTTCGCATTCAAATAGTTCAACCTCAGCGATTGCCAACTTCTACTCATGGCTCCCGCCGTGGCTCCCCCTACACATTAAGGCTGAGACGTCGCAAGCATTCCTCGAATCACCATCGAAGACCTCACAAAGAAGCACATCCTTGAATGCTGACTTGATCAGAAGTGCTCTGTGCAAACAAGATCATAATAATATAGTAGTGTCACATTATCTGCGCATACCTGCGCTGCCTTTCAATCCAAGGGACGACAGCTCATCCATGGCGCCATCTGAGATGATGCGATCCAGAACATCACCGCCGCCACAGTATTCGAGAACCAAATACCTCGCCATCACATCCGATCACATGCATATCCAACAGGCCGCAACAGGTCACAAGTGCTGTCGATCCATCGTCCCCTGCAGTGAAAACATGTGAAGACAGCTGCGGCAAATCGGACATGTGCGGATTCATTGAAGTTTGGTTTTCCAGAAAACGAGCTATAAGCTCCTTGGCCGAATGCTCACCTCTTCAAGTTCACTGCCAAGCCGAGTCGCAAATATTCATCATCTTCAAAGGTTTCCTCGCAAGTACGAGTAAGGCATCGCTACTAGGAGCAAGAAGCTACCAGTAGCTCCTGGCGATTCTACTAGTAACAAGAAGCTACTATAGTAAAGGGCAAACAAAGCTCTTGTCACTTGACCGCCTGCTGCTTCTTTTGCCGGACTGATGAAACATACATTCCCCACAGATCCCCCCGGTCGCGGCTCGAGAGCCCCAAACCCGCCAGGGGTCGAAGAGCTTGATGATATTTGGATGATCCAAGGTCTTCATGATCGCCACCTCTTGCACAACGCGTGCAATCTCTCCAGCGCCTGGGACCGCGAAAGGGAAGGCAACAGCCCTTCTTTCAGGCCAAAAAAGGCTTCACAAAAGATCGAAGCAAACAAAATTGCACACAAGGATGCACAAGAAGCTGTTGCTGGGTTCTATCTGAGCAAGCTCGTTTCAACATCTGGATCAATTCCTGAGCTTCAGACTCTTCTTTGCAATCCTCTTGATCGCCCGGTGCGCCTGGCGATTCAGCTCATGTATCAGTGAGCCATGCAACTGAGCCAAAAGAAAGGTGTTGGGCTTAGAGGAAGAAACATGGAAAAAACATTGTGGATCCTTGTACTGTTTCTTGCATTTCTCTTTACAAGGCTTGGGTTTACCACTGGCCTTCCTTCCCATCAACATCCCCATCCTCTCAGTGATCCTATTTTGGATCAACTCCCATGTGGACAGCTCCAACAAACTGGTGGAGATACCAGCCAGCCCATGTTCGGCCGTGCTTGCCACGGCATGGTTTCCTGACCTGGACTTTGGTACTGACACGAAATACTCCCCCAACCAAATCGGGACTGGCCGTGTATTCCACCGGCGGGTGGCCTTCGTGGCAATTTCCACGGCCCTGAAGACCTGTGCCGAACCACCAGCGTTGACCTCCTCCTCGATCGTGTAGAAGTCTTCCTTGGATGTCACAGAGCACGGGCACTCCCAAGACAGCAAGATGAGCGCAAGGGCTGCACGGGTACAGAACTAAAACAACTGGAAAGCATTTGTCGGGAAACGGCAGGTGGTTGACCCTGAAGTATCTTCTACATTCTACAACCTTTCTTTGATTCTTCCAAAGGAAGTCGTATCTGTCGTATCTCCCCTCCTTTTCTTGCTGCCAGGGATCAATGAATCCAGGGTTGTTGATGATGAAGCAATGGATGCCGAAGCCCGGGCCTTCTGCACCGGAGCGCTTGCCCGCCAAATGCACGCCCTGGCGCCGCCTCTGACGACCCCGGCGCACATACTCTCCACCTGGCTGAGGAATCCCTCGTCAACTGGAACTGTAAAAAGAAATGGCGCCAATGATCTGTTTCCTACTCTGCTCGATCCGTGGAGGAAACAGACATGTTTGGCCTGGCCTCCTTGTGCAGAAAACCATTCCTCTCTCAAATTCTGCAGAGCCCTCCACAAGCTCTCGCGAACTTGGTCAGGGTGGTTTGTGGCCACCTTGGCAAAACTCCGAAATCTCAACGTCACAGCAGATCGCAGCTATTTGAGAGCTCTCGCGGCGCACTTTTTCGACCCTCGCATTCCTTTTCTCTCGGCCAAGCTTGTGACATGCCTTGCCGCCTCGTCCTTGGTTGACATGCACTCAAGATGCCCCCAAGAATCTCAAGTTACTCAAGTTGGGACGTACCCTGAACAGTCTAGGTACATGTATGCACATACCACTGTTGATTCTGCCAGGCATGCACTGCTCATTGGCTACACAAAAGCTTTAGAGCCCTTGGGCCCGTTGTAGAAAAGTAAAATCATCAAAAAGTATTAATATTGATGTTGCTTGGTACCTCCAAAGTGTATTTATACTTTGGAAAGCTGTCAAGGCCAAGAAACGCTGAGCAGTGCATCGTTGCATCCCATGCATCGCAGTTTCTCACGCTGCACCGAACAAGTCTTCGTCAGTTCGTCGGCAGGCAACGGTTCTTCCATCCATCCGTCAAATGCCACGGTCCATCCAGCCAATCCTTTCGCTTCGGGTCCAGATCTTCCGGACCGCTGGCTTGCTGTCGCAGCCTGAGATGTGGAGAGCATGAAAGGCTGGATTTGTTCCACTATCTATCAGAGACCTCAGATATAAGTCACCCAAGTATATATGGAGATAGATACATAATATAGGAAGTTTTGTGTATCAATCTTCTCCAACACTACTTTGCTATGCTGGGGGCAAAGTAAAACACGAGGGAAAGACCAAAGTCGTTAGGATTAGCACAAACAAGAAGCTGAAAGTTGACCATACCAATACCTCCCAAGCCAAAGCAACTCCACCAGCTATCCTCTGACAGCATGGCTCTCTCACATTCTGCCCGCCACGTTAGAATGCAGCACCATTGCTCCAGCGAGCTTGCAAATATAGCGTGCCATCTGCAGCACTGAAACAAGACTCCACCCACACGGCAGTGTCTTTCACCATTTTCTTCGCCAAAAGGATTCCCTGCATCATGGGGCTGGGTTGAAAGCGAGCAGTGTCCTTTTCTATCCGAACTGTGGGTATCCAGTCCGTTGCTTTGCTAAAACACACCTCTGTCCAGGTGGCAATTGCATGAACACCTGGACATTTGCTTCTCAAGGTGACACCAGGAAACCTTTGGAAAGATTCGGGAAAGTCTTCCGCCAAGTCCACCTGACACAGAGTCACTGGGTCACTTAGGATAGCATGCTCCACTTGCCACAGACCGCAAGGAAATCTGGGTCGCCCAGGAACCAAAATCGTCCCTTCGCTTCCATTTCGCCGCTCGGGATGCAAGCGGTTCACGGCAGAGACATCCACTCCCACCACAGAAGAAAGCTCTTGTCGCCGTCTCCAGAGATCCTGGCAGGAAAGGAGCACCGCTTTCAGTCGAAACGATCTGGGCAGGAGAACGCCCTCGGGTTTGAGAGAAAATCGAAGTGCATCCACTTGTGCCCAATGATGCCACAGCTGACAGTCACAGGGCAAACCTTCACACTCACGCGCAAAAGGCTCACCACAAATCATCGAGACACTCTTCGGAGCGAGGCAGGGAGACCCCAGAAGATGACGAACCTTCGGTACAAAGAGTCTCCCTTGTACACCTGGCCTTCGGGCGGTGAAAAGCTCTTTGGCCACCTGCAGATCCTCTTCACTGGATTCCAGACTGATGAGCGACGAAGTGGGCGCCATCCGCAGCATCCGTCGCAGGCGCCGACCTTTGGGAGTCCACCCATAGCGGCGAAGGGAGTTGCAGGCCAGGAGGCTCATGAAGGGTCCATCCGAGAGGTCCACGACTTGAATGTTGGCCCATCGACTGGATGCTTTGTAGAGAGATTTCACTGCCCAGTGCAGAGAACGTTGCAGCTCTTGGTATTTCTCCTGGTCGGAGAGCATCCAAAGCCTGGAGGAAGAGAGCAGTGCCAAGTTGCTGGAAGCCTGTGGCAGTTCCACCGGCCCTGTAGGAAGGTGATCCTGAATTCGAAACCAAATGTCTTCATCTGTGTGGAATACGGCTAAACGCAAGACCTGACCTGCTTGAACCAGCGGCCGGGGATGTGGCAACACGCACACTGCCTGGCGCCAGTGATCGATCTCCCTCTTCGTGCTCTGGGAGAACGAGGAGGGTGCATTCGTCATGCTGGGAACTTGGTCACCACGAAGCATGTAGCAATACCACCAAAAAACAATCGCATCAAGTCGTCCGGATCGCCTTACAGTGACCTCCAGCAGCTTGGCCCGGTGGCTCGAAGGAAGGGATTCGAAGTCGAAGGAGAGCGCATGGAACTCATCAGAGAGAAGATGAGCTTTCCCGGTCGCCAGCAACTTCTCTAGGGCCACATCATGAGGATTGGCGTCTCCCTGGTCTTCACGCACCGTTTTTGGGGCTCGACGAGTCCACCACGCTGTCTCAGCCGTTTGGAAAGTGGTTAACATGGAACTCTCCACAGCACAGGCAAAGACATCGGCCGAAGCCGGGACTGCCCAGTAGTCCTCCGTGAGCAGCGATTCAGACGCATGCCGCAAAGTTCTCAGACAGTCCTCTCCAAGCAGACCTGCATCCAAGATTTCGGCAACTAGAAGCTTCGCGCGGTCTGGGCGATCAAAACACACGGCGGTGGATCGAACTGCATGCACCTTCAGTTTTGATGCCAAGTTATTCTCCACAGCGTTTGCCTGGGCAACCTCTGCCAGGACGGGATCACTTTCAAAAGCCACCACCTTGGGAAGCTCAGGCCGTTGCTTCAGGAGTGACAAGCCCAGAATCCCAGTCCCACAACCGATATCCACGGCCACATGCTGCAAGACCGATCGCGGTAACCGATCAAACGCCTCACAGAAGGCCTTCAGCCGGGCCTCGTCGTGAAGCATGTCGAAATGCCAAGCATAGCGTTCGCTGAAATTTGATCCCTTCAGCCCTTCGTCTTCTTCGTCTTCCTCGACCTCCTCTTCTTCGAGGTCCTCTTCATACAAGAAGCCCTCCACCGGCACTGGTGTCCTCGAACGGCTGCGCATCACGTGCTCGGCATGACAGGACTTGATTCAGGCCAAAAGAGCAGCAAAATATCCGCGAAATGCATGAGATACGAAGCTCACTGGTAAGTTCACGAATAATCGCACTTGCTGCAACTCAACCCCCCATTGCACAAGGCACATCAACCCTAGCAAAAAAAGAAACGAACGAAGACTGCCAAGGCGCAAAGTACATAGTTCTCCCCGTGACCGTTTTGCCACAGCAGTTCCGCACCTGACAACTGAAACAAACAAGTATCAGTTTCATCAGTCTGCCACAAAAACAAGAGACAAAGGCTAAGTCTACGTATCCTTCCGTGTTGTTGGGTAGGCAAAACAAATCTGTGCCTTGCACACCGGGAAATGAAATGCGAACTTTGGTCTCAAAAGAATACTTTTTCAGTCGGTGTGTCGTGTGTGTGTGTGTGGGTATGCAAGGGTACAGTATGCGTGGGTCCTCACTCAACGCGGACCCGTTTTCCTTCAATTCTCCCAGGATGGTTTACCTGGTCCCCTCCCGGCCTCGTGCCGAAGGCCTTTGTAGACTCTACGGCGCAGGCGCTTGAGCCAGCGCCAAAAGCCTGGCGAAGCTGGGAGGGCAAAGTCATAGCCTCAGGCGTCCATGAAATCCAGTCTTTTTTGTACACTCCCAGAGCCTTGACTCCTCGTTAGCTGACCAGAGGTCTCCTGGACGCAGAGATGATTCTGAAAGCCTGCGGACCTTGATGCCAAAGAACATCCACAAGGCTCACGTAAACAACATAGACTTGTGCAACTTTGGTCTACACACAATGAACGAGCGATTCTGGATTGAACGGTCCTCGGTCAACTCCGTCTCCAGGAATTGTGCACTAGTGCGCAGATTCGTGGTGTTTCGAGTAGTGCGGTTCTGGCCCTGGAAACGGATCAGTCGTCTGCACAGGCAACAGGCAGAACTCAGTTGAGTCATGGCCAGGCATCCATATGGACCAGGAATTTACAGTATATCAAGCTCAGCACTCAGCACACAACAGCCTCCTCTTAGCCGTCTTAGCCTACTCAAAAAAACTCCTTCTTCATCTCAACTGTCAACCATCTCCCCGTCCTGGGTGCGGCGATCTGTGACGGTGCCTGCAAACGGGAATCGATCTGTATCCTTCACTGACGGCCGATTGGTTTCCGGCAGGTCGCAAGACCGACAGTCAATTATCATGAGTTTGGGGCCGTGGAGGTTGTGGATCATGACTGTTCTGATGCTGCAAACAAGAAGTATTAAGTATTCAAAATCCTTAGGAAACATAGACAAATCCTTGTTTCTTATTTTCTTCATTTCTATTTAAAATATGTGCAAAATCCGCCCCCTTTTTTTGAAAGTGTTCAGGATGTCAATCCTCACGCAGGTGATGTAGGTGATGCTCGAACTGCGCCTCTGCTGGCTGATGACACGCCCGTTGATGCCCTGCACCGTCAACCCCAGATCTCTAGAACAACTCACCCACATGTGTGTGTGTGTTTTACAGCATTAAACAGCCGCATATGATTGCAGCATATGTGTGTGTGGTTGTTCATCTTCCAGCTGAAGGAGAAGTGTTGCAGCCGAAGGTGCTTGATGGACCTCACTTGGTTGCCTTCAGTGATGCCAGCCATGCACCGTTGAAGAGCTCAGGACGTCGTGGAATCAGCGGGGGAGTGATTTCATATGGTGGAGCTTTGATTAAGACATTGGGTAGACATCAGATTCTTGTTTCGCTTTCGTCGATGGAAGCCGAACTGTTCGCCCTTCAATCCGTTGCCCAAGAGTTGTCGTCCATGGGAAAGATTGTTGCTAGGATCTTAGGAAGTTTCAAAGAGATTGACGCAGGACAAACAAGATGTCGGCCAGACACAGCATTTCACTGGGACTGTGTCCAACGAAGCTACCAGTGAAATGGGATATCCAGCTTGGCCAGCTGGACGTACCTGCAAATTTTCCAATTGTTTGAATCACTTCACTCTTGTTCAACAATACTGTTGCTCGGACCCTGCACTTTTTTTTCCGTCAAGGTCTAACTTGCAGTAACACTAAAGTGCTAATGCTCACCGGGAATAGCCTGAAGACTTGAGGCCAGGGGGGGAGGTCGAAAGCTAGCCGAATCGCACCGGATGTACTAGTTACATAGCCGGCAAAGCATGTAGGGATGACATGTTTTGGGAGGAAGGTTGCTATGTACATACTTTGCGCTAAAGAATGTAAATGTGACATCGCTGACTGGGAAGGGTACATTGGAACAACCCGGGTGCACTCGTTGGCAGGCACGAAGATGCGTGATCGGCAAATCTGGGGGGTAAATTTACCCTCCGCTTTTGTATGCCTTGAGTCGGAAAGAGGGGTAAGCATTTCTGACATCATACGGACTGTACATACACTAGGGCGTCCGTAGTGTAGGAGAAGCACGGGTAAAAGGTATATGGAATAGAGTGTCTTGAGGAAATAGCCGGTGTATGGTTATTGCAAATCTGGGGGGTAAATTTACCCCCCGCTTATGTATGCCTTGCGCTGGAAAGAGGGGTAAGCATTTCTGGCATCACAAGGACTGTGCATACACTAGGGCGTCCGTAGTGTAGGATAAGCACGGGTAAAAGGTAGAAGGAGTAGAGTGTCTTGAGGAAATAGCCGGCTTATGGTTATGGCAAACCTGGGGGGTAAATTTACCCCCCGCTTATGTATGCCTTGAGCCGGAACGAGGGGTAAGCATCACAAGGACTGTGCATACACTAGGGCGTCCGTAGTGTAGGATAAGCACTGGTAAAAGGTATCAAGAATAGAGTGTCTTGAGGAAATAGCCGGTGTATGGTTATAGCAAGCCTGGGGGGTAAATTTACCACCCGCTTATGCATGCATTAGGTTAGAAATAGGGGTAAACAACTTGTAACGGTGAAGTACAAGTCCTATGCAGCAAGCAGCAGCCAGCAGCAGCAGCAGCAGCAGGAGCCGCCTGCAGCCAGCAGCCAGCAGCAACCACCAACCAGCAGCCAGCCAGCAGCACCACGCAGCAGCAGCGCAGCATCAAGCCGCAGCAGCAGCAGCACCACCGGCAGCAAGCACCACCGGCAGCAAGCAGCAAGCAGCAGCAGCAAGCAGCAAGCAGCAGTAGCAGCGGCGTCGTCAGCAACAGCAGCAGCAGCACCAAGCCGCAACAAGTAGCAAAGCAGCAGCTACAAAAGCGGCAACCAGCGGCAGCAGCAGCAAGCAGCAGAGCGGCAGCAGCAGCAGCACCCTTTACACCAAGCCACCGTTACACCCAACCAACCACGTTCACACGTTCAACCAACCCCCTACACGGCGCAGCTGGGAGTTGAACCGCGGGGGGGGGGGGTTAGCTTGATATATCAATCTTTAAGGCACGCAGCCCTCCCACCACAACATTGCTAAAGCAAAGAAGAACTCAGCTAGCATGCTAGCTTTCGTGACAAGCTCCACGGAGCAACCTTCTCAAGTGTGTCTATAGAGAGAGAGAGAGGGAGAGAGGGAGAGAGAGGGAGGGGGAGGGAGAGGGAGAGGGAGAGGGAGAGGGAGAGGGAGAGGGAGAGGGAGAGGGTACAAGACCAGCTCTGACTGGCCACAAGACAAATTTGGATTCTCAGGTGTGAATACACGATCTACACTATGGGCCACTGTGGGCAAAACCAGATGGGAAAACCCACAGCCAGTCCAGAGAATCAGAGCACTTGATCGAAAAACAAACAGGTGCAGTCTCCTGGAAGCCATTCATGTCACTCGCGGCCAGTGCCGAAGCATCTGCTTGCGCCCGATCCACTTGCAAACGAGCAGAAAACGCTGGATTGTAAAAGTTGCGAGAGCTCATGTCATGTCATCTGACCAAAAGACTACTAAGCTTTGAGGATCGTGTTTTCTACAACTCAACCTCTTGACACGAGCTGGCCAAAGAAATGCTCGTATGTCATATGTCATTCAACTTATGTAAAGTGAGCAGCTTCCACGGCACAAGAGAAATCAAAACGGGTACGGATTCAGTCATGCGCAGTGATTTCAACGATCTCTGTATAGTGGGATTCCCACATGTCCAGCCAAATCCCATTTCCCGTCGAATAGAATGACACCCCTGGCCCCTTTTGAAAGCTTCGGGTGTCCAGCCCGGAAACGCTCAGTCTTTCTACAAGGCGCAAGCGGAACTTGACCAAGAACCAGCAACCACGGGTAAAGAAGTCTCAAAGGCTTTGTGATATTGATGTTCTCATCATGAGGTTTCATAACTCTTCACAGTGGCTCGCTTACGCAGTACACCGGTCGGAACCCTACAAGCTCTATTTGGAGCACATTTTTGGAGCACAGAGCTACTGAAAGCACTTTGGAGTCGTGCGACTCATGCAGTGCTCGCCGGAGCCTAGGATGAACTGAAAGTACATTGTTCATCCGAAGATTTTGGCATGTCAACCTACCTTGTGAGGCCTTCTCAATCCTCGTTCTTTGTCCACCTACCTACTGTAGTGCACACCTCATTTCCTCTGCGAATTGACCTGAGGACCGCCACTCCGTGAACCGACCGACTCCGAGAGCCCCGGGCATCACCCAGCTGATGCGGAGTACCCTCGCGCACGAGGCTGAACATGGACGGATTCGATTGGATGGGAAAAAAGAACTGGACACAAAGGATCCAAGGATAAGGGTTAAAGCAAGAATAACACACACCGATGATGCACAAATGGAAAAGAAGTTGAAAAGACATATATGGGGTGTTTCCGTTTGAAACCTCTTTGCATCTTGAAACCCTCCAACAAAACATCTCAAAAGCGGAATCAACAAATTACAGCTCCTGCCACTAAAGTCAGGGGTGACTCAGCATACTCATCTAGAAAAAGCATCCCAACGGTGTAACTACGCATGGTAGGATGGCAAGAGGTGCACTGATACCACTCTCAAAAAAGTCACTGATTGGAACATAGCAGAACATAGGTGCAAGTGTTTTCGATTGGTCCATTGAGTAGTCATGAAACAGAAATCCTTAAACGACTCGATCAGCCTGGAATGGCTGAATCAGGTGGGCGCCCTCTCGGCTCTCTCGACGGGATGAACGTCCTCGGTAAGACGTCAAAGACATCCACCCGTGTGAGAAAAAGCTCTGGCAAGCTGGGTCAATCGGCTACGGCTACTCATTGAAATTGGATCTTGGTTTGGAGATGGGAAGATTGTAACCTGGGAAGCGTCTGATTCTTTTCATGTCTGTTCGATCTCACTTCGGCCAACTTCTGCTTTAACAAGCCCAAAAAGCAAAGAAAGAAAACTGCTTCAATGAGCTCCGCTGCGGTTGGGCTCCCAGGCGCCCATTCCGTGCGTGTCGATGGCCGTGATGTCCATGGTGGCCGTGGTGACCGTCCGGACGAGCATCCTCCGTCGAGTGCCCTGGCCGGTGGCCGCGGCGAGTGGCCGCTGAGCCGAGCGTCGAGTCCAGAGCCGCGGTGCTAAGGCGTTTCGTGAGGCCTTCACCGACGGAATCGGTACAAATGACAGAAAAGAAAGATACCCCCAATGTGGGTTAAGCTTGCCCGGCTTCTTTCTTGGAGCCCCTCCCAACATCAAAGAGCAAAATAAACAAGTTGGGAGTCTGAGAGGACTTTAACTTTGAGGTATGTGACAATGACAAGGGCCGACTGTAGGCAGATATATAAATGAAAAGAAAAAATTTTTCGGACAAGCAAATAGGCAGGCAGCAAGCGGGAGGATGGTGACTAGTTAGAGGGAAAATGGGTGCAAGCTGCCACCAACGAGATGGAAGACAAGGAAGGCAATGGCAAGCTGCCATCGTACGAAATCAGAGTGGAACGAAATGAATCAATCAAATTGAGATGTACAGTACGCCTCTGGCTGGCTCCACTCGAAGATATTCCAAGGTTTGTAGCTGCAGCAGCTTGTAGACCTGCCAACCGCACCAATCGCACAAGGCTCCATGTCCCATCACTCGCAGTTCAGCAAAACAACAAGTCGTTATGTAAATTGGGTACAGCACTGAAAGCCTTCAAAACAGCATTACAAACTTCAACAAGACTGCAGCCGTCAAGCACGTGAAAAAGGGCACCCTTTCCGTCGACTGAGGAGGGGTCCAAAAAATCAAGTGATAGGACCCCTTTAATGGCGGTTGCTTCTCCGGATGGTCTTAGTCGAAGCAGAGGTTTCCACTGATTTTACTAGGTACCTGAAAAGGCCGGTAGAGTGGTGCACTCGCACTCTTGGTGAAGGGACTACATGTTTGCCCGAGCTGAAATGGTCTCGGACGACTGTGACCACGGCCACTGAAGTGCAGTGCTTTTGTTCAATAGTTGCTGTGCGTTGGTGAAATGGTGCTGGACGATTGTCGATGCTTTCTTTTTCAACTGGAGATGTGGCTGGTTTGTTGCTACAACTGAAAGCAGAAAGCGGGTGAAATGCCTTTTCACTGACTGCGGAAGACAAAGCACAGGTAGTGATGTGGTAGGTCTTTGACGAAGGTGAAATGGTATGTCGCCTTTGGCGAAGTGGTGCGAGTCAAGTGGCGGCATTTACTACTGGTGGACAGTTGTAGTATCTGACCGTTGGTGAATGGATGCCTTCCAGGTTCTACACCCATCCGGGAAACTCAATGCAATGTCTGTCAGGTATGAGGCTCACCATGGAACGCCGCGCATTCAGGAAGCCAAACAAGTCAATGCACTGATGTTCAAAACCCCACAGAACGCTGTGCATCAGCAAATGCTCTTTCGAGTTCAATTTGGAAGGTTCAACCAATAGATCCCAATGGAACGCTGTGCGCACAGCTACCTCAAGTAAGACAAGTTTACTCAACAGAAGATGCAAATCCCCATGGAACGCGATGCACGGTGCTTGCACGGTGCTTGTACGTTACAACTGCCAATGTCTCGTAGTCCGGCGAAGACAACCATGGAATTGTTGTCGGGGAAAGAACCCGTGCTCACACCGGACGGGTGTGATGCTTGGGTGGGTTGAAGGCAGGGGATCGAAGAGTCTTGAGCCTGGGTGAACCCGCCCTTTTGGATTACTGTATATAGAAGACCTCTTCACACGGGTGGTTTTCTTAATCAAGAATCAAGAGTCTACATTAATTTCCAGACCTGTCTTTCCTTCAACCTGACGGCCCGTGAGACCACATGCAGGAGTTGTGTAAAACGAAGTGAGCCTTCCAGCAAAGGCAGCTTGCGACAAACCTTAGATGGCTCAATTGGCTCATGAAGTTGAAGCATGTTCAAACATGGTTGATCTCTTTTCACATCGAGGGTCTGACTGGCTCAGGGAGCTCAACAAGACCCATGCTGGCAAATAGCAGACCGGCCTGCTTTGGGCCGACATGAGGGCAAAGTCTAGATGAGACCAGACAGAAAATCATAGTAGTCTTGATCCTCAGATCTCTCAGAAAAGGTACCTCTGGAAGATCTGAGGAAAACCGTGTTACCATCCCAATCTTCTTGACTCTCTACAAGTCTACATGTCTGTTCCTTGCCAAAACAGCATGTAAAGCATCCGTTTGCAGCCTTTCAGAACAAGGTAAAAGTGTGCCATATTTCGTGGCAAAAGTGTACCTGCACGCTCACATGCGGGCGAACTTCCAGCATGATTATCTCCTAAAGCAACGAGAACAAGTGCATTGAAGCCGGGCGGACACTCTCAGTAGCCCGAAAGCACAGTTTAAGGTGGCCAAGAGGAGGTACGGAAGCAACTTGGCAGCTGAAAGTAATGAGAATGGGTCTGTCTCTGCGTACAAGTCTTGACATAATCACACAATATGACAGCTGGCGGCAAAAATCTATGCCATCACTGCCATCACTGCATCCAAATAACACAGCTTAAGCCACCATCACTCATGGCTCCAAGGGCAGTCTCCTGAGTTGTAAGTAATGAATGAAGGTGCTCGAATCTGCAGAAAGCTTGGCTGCATCCAGAAACAAGTCCCGCTTCGTTTGGTTTCCTCTCCTGCAAGCAGCGGAAGCAATGTGCCAAAGCGGGATCCTGCAGCAGCGAGCTTCGCGAAGAGATGCCGCGAAGATCTTCGCTTCGGAGCTTCGGCTGAAGACTTGAGAAATGAGCTCCTCCTAGTAGCGTCCTTGCTCCTAGTAGTAAGGCCAGGAGCCCCTAGTAGTGTCCCTGCTCC